TTCTTACATCTTCAACGGCCACTTTTCCATTATCTTCCAAATTCATTTCGGCTGTGGATACCGAAATAAAACGAACATTTAGAATAAAACGGCAGATGTAGATTCTATAAAAATTGTATTAATAAATGAAAGAAGCACTTGACTCAGCCTAAGCTAACGCTAACCCACACAAGGCTGGAAATCAAGACTGTTTACTAACTTTTCATACTTTCCTTTCACATAGAACTCAAACGTAAGAACCATGGGGACAATAATCCTCACCCCACCCATTTTGATTGCACTAAGATATTATCAGCCTGCAAGATCCATTATTTTTGGTGGGACTGTCAGTACAACCATTGTCTGCCTTAACTAAAGGTTGATTACCTTTCAATTGCTTCAGCTTTACTTGTCGCTCTTTCCTTTCTCCCTGATCTCCGAGATCTTCCAGTCTGTAAAAAACTCTTTTAAGGAAAATAAACTGAACAGGACAGTTTATAAAATGTGACATCAAACCTTCAAGACAGTAAAGTTCCAGAACACCAGTTCCGCCTAAGACTGATGTTGAAGCTGCCAGTCTAGTTAGTCCCAGACCATGTGATCGCACACAGGAGCGTAATGATCGAGAATTTGCATCTAAATGAACGAATCATTTCATCAAAAAAGATACAAATCTTCGTCAACTTCAATGTCCATGGCTTTGGCAGAGGTAAGCATACAGTCATTACTTGACTTTTTGCGCCTAAATCTGTGAATGTGGTTCGATGGCTTTCATAAGAGGGGGAGTTTAGACAAAGGGAAAGGGAGGGGAGGGGGGAGGGTTGGAAGGAATTGAGAATGAAGGAGAGAAGATCCGTTACTGCGTGAACAATTCTTTGTGCAAAAAATGCTGAGATGTCAAGTTCGACTGTCAAATTGGGCCTTTTTCTTAAGCGAAAAGACAAACAAACAAAAACACAAAGGGCTACCCAAAAGATAATTGCCATATTTCTCTTTTTCTTTCTTTGTTTTTTTTTTTTCATCTTCACCTACTTGTGTTCTTCTTTGTCAATTTGCTTGGCGAGAGAAATTCTTTTCCTAATGGAGGACATAAAAGACACATCAACTGGAAAGGAGTCTAGCTCGTTTCCTGCAACACAAAATTTTAAAAAGAATAAAATCAAGAAAACAAATATGAACAAAAAAATGAAAGAAACAAACGAATGACACGAGAGACTGTAAGTTAACCCTTAAACGCCTATTAATGACTGGCATCTAGTTTCTTCTGACAGCATCACTCCTGAATCAAACATAAAGGTCACGAGAATACAGGGAACGACCACCTAAAGAAACTCTTGATTGTTAAACAAATTCTCTTTGTTAGTTCCATAGAAAATTCATGGAAAATGGTGTGGAGAAAATGCAAACTGATTTTTAAGGGTGTAAAGGGTTAAATTGTCGTCGGGCTCAGTAAACTCCTAGAGTCGATTACGATGTACCTTTTCCTCCTAAAATATTTGTTGCAGCTAAAAGAAATATTTATCAACTAGAGGGGTTTCATCTTCGTGCGATGACAAATTTTGTTAACCCTGTGATCCATAAGAGTGACCAGCCTCCAACTTCTCCTAACGACTGTCACACCCAAGTAAATATTTCTCAAAAGGCTATAAATGTATCAAATACAAGATATTGGGTACTTAAAATTATCCCCTAACCTTGTTATCAAATGGGTATCCAATCATTCTCCTGTTAACAAAGCTATCCGTACTCGCATTAGATATCATCTATGGAGGCAATGGTCCTCGAAATGCTCCGAACGCACACGCAAATCTTTTGGAAGAAATGTCCGTCCAATGGCATGAATCATGCGCGTCAATAACTGTTCTATTTTGGCAAGCTAAAAAAGCGAAGCTTGGGATCCTGCTTGGTTTTTACTAGACTGGAGCACTCGAACGCTTCGCAATTAGCCATTTTGCTTGGGGAAAACCCCAAGATAACCCCAACTACGAAAGAACGGTGCAACCATTACACGTCATCAACCCAAAATGCCTTGCGCACGTAAAAAGATGGAGAACGCGGGTGGTTCGAAGTTGCCGTCAAGGCCAGTTTTGAAGGCCGAAAAAAATTATCAAGGTTAGAGGTATGATTTTAAGTACCAAATATCTTGAGCTGATATATTTAGAGCCTTTAGCAGTATTTGCTTTAAAACTGCAGGTTCCCTTTCAAGTCACGAGAATAGAGGAAATGATCACCAACTAAAGAAGCTCTTGATTGTTACACGAAATCTCCATGTTAACACCTTAAGAAATATATAGAGAACAGTATGCATGGACAATTGTTTGCATACTAACGTTAAGGCGTAAAGTTCTATCTAACTAAAAAGGAGATTTAGACTATGGCACCCTAAAGGTGGCCTCATGGTTAGTGCGCTCGACTCCGGATCTAGTGGTCCGGGTTTGAACCCTGGCCGGGGTCATTGTGTTGTGTTCTTAGGCAAGACACTTTACTCTCACAGAGCTTCTCTTCACCCAGGTGTACAAATGGGTACCAGCAAATATGCTGGGGGTAACCATGCGATGAACTAGCATCCCATCCAGGGGGGAGTAGCAATACTCCTAGCCGCTTCATGCTAAAGGAAACCAGAGTTAAGCGCCGGCCCCATGGGCCACTTGGGCCTGTATAAAGGCTTTACTCTACCTTAAAGGGGGATTTGCAAATAACCTCTTAGACTTTAACTGTTAAAGAGATAAAGACACATCACCTCCATTAAGCGTCTTCATAATTTTCTTGTATGATTAAAGGTTAAAGTTTGATAAAAAGAGAGTCATGTACCTCAGTTTACAGGTTGACAGTCATGAAAACCATTTCAGAAAGAGAAGCCTGAAAGAAATTCAAGCTCCGATAGAAATTGAAGTCCATTGCAAATATGCTTATGTAGATGTGGTATGTACCTCTTTTTATGAATGACCTCCAATATTGAAGATAATTCTTCAAAGTGGCCTTGCTCTACCATTCTGTCTGCCTCGACAATCACAAGATATCTCAAGTGTTCCAAACAGCAGACATGCTCTTCACCCTGAAATTAAATGCCACCAGCAGATATCTCTAGAATCATCCATTTGATAGAAAGAGGCTACACTCCATTTTGACCATCGGGTACGTGAAAAAAAAAAAGGAAAAAAAAAACATCTCGTATGGAAAATGCTTACAGCTGTACTTATTTTTTTTTTACGGCGCTTTATGACTGGAAAAACTTAAATGACACTGGAAATCCAACTTTATGCTGAAAACAACACAGGACAACCGATCTCATGAGAAACATACCTACATGTACAAGTGTATGTCGACTGTTTCAGATCTCTAAAAGAAAGTGAATCGGTATAACTAATGATACATGAGGTACTTACCTTGGAAATCAAATCCCACAGTCTTCCCCAGGGCGGCTACTATTATCTCAGGACACTTATTTAAAAGCCTCTGTTGTTTTTGAGGTGCCATTCCTCCAACCACAGCAACAATCTTGAAAAAAAGGAACTGTTTATAGAAAATCATATCTTTGCCAGCATAATATTATCTACTCAAAATGTGTTTGATTCTCTTCTTAATGATAAAATTCAAGGACAATCATTGGAGAAAAATTGTACCTTGTTTTGTGCATTTCCCATCCATAATTCCTAAAATTAAATCTTACCTGGAGGATCTTCCACCAGTCTATTGTCAGTGACTATTTCTACTCTGTTTTGCTCTTCTGACTGGGCTTTACTTTGGACCTTGTTTTTCTTTTTCCTCTTCTTTTTTCCCGTTGTCTGTTGGTCATTCTTTGTGCTTTTTTCAAGTTGTGTGGATAGTGTGGTAACTGTTTGTTCCAGATTATCCTGAAGATTTAAATCAAAAGACAACACTATGTAGCTTTTTTTCCCCTGTGAGCCAAACTTCTAGAGAAAACCAGCTTCTATTCTTAGATCCCTGGGCCAATGCAGTCTGCTGTCTTCAAAAAATTTAGGACAAACTCCTCTCAAAATGATTTTGATCAATTGCTTTATTTCCATGTAGTTCTTGTGGTGTGTGTTGTTGTTGTTTTCTTTGTGTTTGTTTGTTTCTTTTCTCATTTAAGGTATGACTGGCAGTTATCTTAGTTTTGATTCTCATGTCCAATACACCCAATCTGACTCAGGAGACAAGTCATTCCATTTGAGTCAGGTTGAGGATTATTATTAAGCGTCTTGAAAATCGACTTGTGGTAAGACATTTCCACCTTAAGAATGGCTGCCTGTCAGGATCGAGAATTGTCCGTCAACGACCATTTTGGTGAATTGCTCATATTTTGCTCAAAGATACCCTTTGATAAATTATTTTCAAAAATCATGTTTTTAAGTTTCAGCGATTATTAAATTTTCATAAATTTGCGAAAATCTGCAAACGCGGTTTTCAGGCTTCCGGAGCTCAGGCTCCGCATGACGCACAGTCAAAAATTAACTGCAAAAACCAAGCCCCGTTTAAGGATGAAAATGGAATCAATCAACACCAAACTTCACACGATATTAGGACAGCTATTCTCATTCAATTCTAGTGAGTGATTTTTTTTGGGAACATCGATTTTGGGATTACTTAAGCCCTTGAAAGAACATCCTCACAGACCGCGTAAAATGGCAGCGAAAAACGGGTGATATTTCACGCGAAAAAAATGTACCTGGTACCACATATTTTAGATTTTCAACAACATATTCGTGAAATATTGCTATTTTCCATTCATTGTGGAAAGTGTGATGCTCGGAATCGCATTGCTTCCCTTCGAAAATGGCAGAAGTGTGTGTGACTTGAGCGAGCAAAATGATGCAAAGTGTGTAAACAAACAACAAGGTAATTTAATCATATCGAGTTGTTAAATCTCCAAATTAAATCCGGCCTCTGCTGTGTCGGTTTGTAGCTCGGAAAATGTAAAGTGACAAGTAAATTATTCCGTAAGATATTTGAAAAGGTTCTACAAAATATTTTTTGGCTAAAAATCTGCAAGTGAAGTACATATTACATTAGCACCAACTCACATTCAAGTAATGCAAAAGATACATTCGAGAGAAGCTACTTAGTAGATTAGTACTTGATTCCATGCTGATAAATTAGATTTTTTTTTATCTTTTACTTTGAGAACTCATTTCCTGTAGGTTTAAATACATGGAAAGGCGACTTTTGACCTTCAAAGTAATTAAATGCAAGGCGACAGTTCTTGTTACCCTAGTGATTATCAATGTCACGCAACGTAACGCCATTGGAAACGTGTCGGGGGTGCTGAAACATACCCGCGTAGAAACCGCAAATGAAATAATTATGTCGTTAAATTATAGAAAGAAATCCTGCATTTCAAAATGAGCGGAAAGAAATGTAGGTTGAATACTCTCACGTCTGTCAGTTTGCATGTGTCGGCTACCAGATGAGTAATATTCATTACCGATGTGAAGACCAGAAAAGGAAAGTGAGGGTCAATATTGGCATGATTAAAAGAAAAACAGAACAAAACGAAAGAACTTCTAATTACTCTACGAGCTTTGAAAATGAGATAACTAGTAACTGACGATTAGGAACGAGTCACCGTAAATTCGTTTCTTCCTCACTTTTCTATTCTGCTTAACTAAAGAGAAAGTCAGCATCACGATGACTTTTGGCAAGTACATTTGCTGACAATCTCTTTCAGTAGAGCCAAGTACGGGGCCTTTTTACGCATGGGCTTGATGGTATATCGAGGCCAAGGTCTTCACACATGTGCTGCAGCATGGGTAGCTTCAAGATCTTCAAAGAGTCATTTAGCGCCATTTCACAAAGATCGTACTGATCGTAGATCAGGGGATGGTCAAGTTGTATTGACAGTCTCCTTTGCTTCGCTAAAATTACTCTCCTCTTGAGCTGCTCGGATATCAGCCTCATCAGGATCTCTCTGGCGTACTAAGGCACTCTGTCTGGAGAAGAAGGAGGTGATCTGGGTGGTTGTGAGGAATTCCGATGACTGGAATAGTCGTGCGCTATCGGTGCCCCGGGCACGCCGCATTTCTCGAGCAACTACCTCTGCGTCAAGCTTGTGGCCTGTGGTCTGCCCTATTCGAAATTTAGATAAAAGGTACGACTTTTGCTTTTCACTGAACCTGTAAGCCTTCCTTACTACTCTAAGAGCCCATCCTTCTTTCACAGAAACACGAGAATCTTCCTGTCGTACAGGGGCTTGAAGCGATGGCAGCTTTCCACACCTTCCTCCAAATACGATTTGTAGCCAATTTTTGCCAAGTCCATGAAAGAATTTTTTTCTGGTACCCTGGTACATTTTTCAAGTGACAAGTGCTTTTCTAAGGCTGAAAGCCTTTGAAAAACACGAGTGCAGCCGTCTTGAGGACATGAATACACCCCTGCTGCCTGGCCACGTTCTATGGAAGCTGTCTCTTCAGCCACATTTTCTTCCCCTGACGATTTGTGGGGGGCACTTTTATAGGAACGGAAATCTCCTGCAGAAAATGATGGCTGCAGAATCCCTTGTCCAGGACCTTCAAAAGATTTAAGAGAAATATAAATATGACAGCCACACAGCTAAGAAATAATTATCTTGCATCAACGCGTAGCCCTCAAAGGCAGCCCACGACAGAATACCGTGTTAGAGGGGTTTAAAATACTCACCCCTTTTCTTGTGTTTTGTTTGTTTGAGCAGCGTTTTGTAAACATTTAATCTCTTATGGAAAGTCTTTTATGATGCATTGCGGATAAAATTTTTCCCTTATTAATAGAAACCTTACAGAACAGACTGTCATAAACTAGCAGAAAGGCCTGGGCTCATTCAAGAACCATTAACTCACCAGAAGAGGATTTTTCTATTTTGATCACTTTCCCTTGGCCGACGGAATATGCGCGCCAACAGGAAATAGAGCCCACTGAACTAAACTCAAAGTTGGTCAACTTGGTGATTCCTGTAATGGTTTGCACATCGTCTGGCGTTTCTTCGATGGTATCCAGAGAAACCACTCGTAAACCTTCCAAACCGCCACGGGATAGCAGAGCTTCCTTCAGGTCTCTGGCGGTGCAGACATCATGGCCTTCATTAATAAACGCCCTAATGTGGCTTTTACAGCTCGCAGCTAGTCGATCTGCAGCCCCTTTCCCGCCTTGCGGGTCGCTGAAATCAACGCGGACTATCTTCACTCCGGTGTTCGCTGAAATTTCTTGACACTTCGTTAACGAGCGGGAGGAGTGGTAGCAGCCGGCGTTATCTTGCCTGAAGTAGGCCTTGTTGATTTCAGGATACTCTTGCTTCAATGTGGCTAGAACATGTTGCATAATCGCGGTAACAGCAGAACTTCCTTGGGTACAGGACTGAATCACATGGATAAAGGCTTGCACACCCTCTATTCGTCTGTATACCACAGATATGTGCCAAGAAATACCCCGCTTACCAAACCAGTCTGTCTGTGACTCGCGGCATCTCTGAGGCAAGAACTTCATGGCCCAGTCATTTACAATGAATACTGTTCCAGAATTAAGGGCATCGATGACGTCCAAACGAGCCTGATCTTGATGGGTCGACCCCAGCAAATGGCACTTCCATGACTGGATGGCAAGCGTAGCAGAGCTAACGAGAAACAAAGCTTCGTCTTTGTCTTCTTCTGTGGTAGAAGATGCTTCATCGACCGCAGTAGATATGTCGTTCAGGGTCGAATGCAAGCTTTCACATTGGTCACAGAGCTCGTCATGGTTGTGTTTGCATTGCTGCTGCAGATCAGAATCTTCGGTGTCACTCAGAGCAAATACACTGCA